CAGTAGCAAGGAACCAAAACTTCACCAACTGATGAAAGTGAGAAAACAAATCTTGGGAGAAACCTGGCTCAGTTATGGTGGCTAGTTCACTTCTGGCCAACCACAAAGGGCTTGGGAATGGTCTTGGGAATGAGAGCCCATCCTGGACAAGCTGCATATCAAAGTAAGTCACTGGCTGGGTTTTCAGCCTACGCAAAGGCATTTATGCAAAGATTAATCGGTCACTGGGGTCATTGTAGGAATCCGTCCTGTGCTCTTGACTAATTAATGACCATGAAATCAATCTGCTCTGAGTACAGGCTGGATCCAAGATTGTGTGAACATCAAAATAAGGAGAAACAGACAGACCAAAAATGCCATTCAAATAACAGAGCTTTTTTGAAAAGAGTACCCAGCTTCAGTTGACCTGATTGATACAGCCAAACATTCTATTAGAAAATTTGAATTTCAGAGCTATGCATTTTTGTTTGATATGTATGCTACAGTAGTAGTTTAAAGAGATGTGTCTTTAATCAAGAATTAAACTGACAGTGTTTGCATCCAAGACACTCTTATAAAGGCTGTTCCACAGTTTAGGCACCAGATTGAAAAATGATTTACCACCTACAGTGAATTTTCAAATTCTAGAAATAATGAATTGTCCAGAATTAATTAAAAGTGGTGGAACTTATCACGCAGACAAGAGTAGTTGCAGTTTGTACAGTATTGCAAGGTTGTTGATCTGCCTCTATATTAAAAAAAACAATAACAATGTTTTGGGCACTTAGTTTACTGCAGTGGAAACAGAGATGCAGATCCCAGGTGGAGGGCCAGACCTTGTCAGGCCAGACCATTTGGCTGTGGATAATAATCAGATACCAAGTTTACTGTGACTCCAAGTAGAAGTAAAAAAATGTCCATACCTGTTAAATGAGCTGAGGGTCCCAGTCTGATACAATCACATCAGAAAATCTGAAGTTTCTGAGGTAATCCTCTGGTGAGAATGAGTTTACATGACTTGGAAAACTGGTTGATTGTGACCAGTACACAGATAAATCTTCAGATTCTGGTAAGTCAGTGATAAATCTACTCTGAGGTGGGACCAGGGCCATTGATGGATGGTTAGTGTAACAAATGTCCATGTGCCTGGCTGTTTTGAACTCCTTGATCATACTGGGCAACCAGTACCAAGATTGAAAGAGCAATAGGGTACTCTTACTGCCTGTATATCCAGTGACCAGTAGATTGTGAGCTGTGCCGAGAAGAGGTTGTTGAAAGGATGGTAGATAGGTCTTCACTTCTGATACCTGAAAGCAGTGATGGATGCATCAATTTCAATGATAAAAGGAAGCTCGGGGTTAGGACTGTGAAGAAGTGGGGTAATGCTTAGTGTCCTTTAGCAGTTTCAAGGCTTCGAGTGTTGTTGTTGTTTTAGGCTTGGGTTCTGTTTTTTGCTACAAAGGAGGTCAGTTAATCGAGTGGTAATCTGGCTATAATTCTTAATGAATCTTTGGCAAAACTTTGCAAACCCAAGAATACAATGGAGTTCTTTAAAAATCTGGGTCAGCCAGAATTGCTTTCACCTTTCCCTGGTCCATTTGCATATTATTCTAGCTGGCTGATGATGTATTGGAAGAATTAGACTGAGGGTTGTTGAAACTCACACCTCTCCAACTTCAGTTACAGGTGTTGTCTAATGCATTGGGGGACCTGTATGACATGTTGACAGTGGTCAGCCACATTCTAGATGTATATGAGAATATCAAAGATGTAGACAATCATCTATGACAACAGAGGAACTCCTGGAAGACATTACAAAGGTTTTAAAAGCCAATTGGATAGATGGAGAGTCCATATTACATGACCCAATATTCGTAGCGCTGGGATGAGGTAATGAAGTCAATCTTCCACTCATCACATTCTCAGTAGAGCCTTATACACATATAGCCTTGTACTAGGGCCAGTGCGAGCCAGGGCTTTAATCGGGCCAGGCCGGGCCAATAGCCCGGGAGGTTGAGAAATGAGGCCGAAATCATGTCGCGTTTCCACTCTCGGGCTAGTAGCTCATAGCGCGTCACACAAACACCGCACACAGAACGTCCCCGAATCAAACGTCACACAACCCGCCCACTTCAGTGGGAATCAGGACAGGCAGATAAAGCACACCATAGAATCATAACGAAACCATTAAAATGAAGACAACCGAAACAAACAAATGACACGTTACTGTACAGCAGTTCATGAAATGTCTATACGCACAGACCTGTGCATTTCCATTTATTACATTTGTTTACTCGCCGACCGACTGTTGGCATTGTGCATCGAGTGCTCTCGCCACTAACGGAGGGACCCAACACAGTGAGCGCACACATCCATAATATAAAGCCACAGAAATTCTCCTTTAAAACTCGATATGGCATGTATTTTATAACATCCTTTACAACATCCTTTATAACATCCGTTTTGATAGATGTCTTGTTAAGTGTTTCAGCACAAGAGCCAGTAGCCTAATAAAATATAGCCATATTTGTTGCACTCAGCAGCTATTCATTAAAGCTCTTCATTTAAAGTGTCATTTATAAATTTAACCACGTCATATAAAAACATAAACACTTTTTTGAGGATATAGAACACATTTTCTGTTTGGACTTCCCCCCCAATGCGTTTAAAGCAGCGAGCACTGCGCAGGACTGAGTGACAGAAAAAAAGGTATAGGCTAGATTCTGCATTCACTCATCCAAATAATGCTCTGTTTGCGCGATTTGATTAATATAATCGCATCCAAATACTTTATAAATAATATTTCAAACCTTCTCCAGTGTTAATTGTTTTTAGAAATATCGAAAATCTTTTGTTTTCAGATAAGTCTTTGTAAAATGAAAGTTAGGCTATATGTGGCTTTAAAACGGTTTGATTTATGTATTGTATATAGGCTACCTACATATAGCTAGCTTTTGTTTATTTTATATTGGTTTATTTATTTAGTGCGATTTTATATATATCCGGTATTTGTAATTCTTTACATTATATTTCAATATAGCTTAGGCTATTTTATCAAGATATGACACTATATTGTTTAAAGTCTACGAAAGTGGGCACGTAATTTGTTAAGTTTTATAACAGAGCTGTGTCATAACAGAGCTGTGAAGGAGCGCTCTTGCCCGGTCTCTCACACACACATACAGGCATCTAAACGCGCACAAACAAACATTTTAAACTTGACAAAAACTCTTGAAAACCTTTATTCTCTGCTGTGTCTTTAATATGGTGTAAAGATTATTATGCGTTTTTGAAACATAAAGGAGGACACAGCAAAGAAAGTCACTATAAATTAAAACTACTTTAATATTTTATGCAGCAGCCTTACATTTAAAAGGGAAACATGAGGGTGATCATACGCAAAAAGACCCCAGGCTATAAGGCTAGATGTTTTCTTTCCCTTATTTCTTTATTTGTTTGGCTCATGTACTCATGTGCGATCAGAAAACTGCCCGCCTCTCTTTTCACTCCGCCCCAAGCCTCAGCTGACCCTCCTTGGCCCAAGGTATCCAGCGGGCCGAAAAAGGCCGGCCGCTGGCCCCAAGAAAGCCCCGCTTTGGCCTGATTAGGCCCCGGAAGTGACAGTGGAAACGCCACTGGCCTTGGCTCGCCCTGGCTCGCTCGCTTTAGGCGCGATAGTGGAAACGCGGCTAATGTGACCCTTAGGAATCTTAGGGCGCACTCACACTATGCTATCGGAACCGTGCCCAAACCTGTTTTCCGGATCGTTTGAGAAATGTGAGTGCTGATCTGTTTGCCGAAATATTTGACTGCGCGTCACTGCATATCAAACGACTAAAATGATATAACTAAACAAATCTCCGCTCTTGCTTAGCACAGTGATTCGCTTCTTAAACTAAACACTGCATCATCGATGAAGGAAGCGTGCTCAGACTCAAATGCAGTGTGAGTGCGGGCTGTCTGGGAAGATGGGAGGGGGGACAAGCGTGCTTTGGCCCGGTTCAAGGCAACTGTACAGTCCAATGGCAGATGCAGGGGGATTAACTGATTGTTTGCTGAAAACATTGTAGGATTTACAGGGGCAGATGGTGGTGGTGGTTTAGCTATGACAACTGTCCAGCTAATTGAAGGAATCTGAGGGTGCAGGAGGAGATGTATTCATGGTGTGTAATGTCGGTCTGGCATTTTGTCTCACACACACAGGAATGACTGGAAGCTGCAAGAACAAGGTATGTTTTTTGACAATGATGGTAATCAGTAGTGCAACGCAGTTATGGTTATTGAGGCATCAAGACCAAGTCAGGCATTCACCCTTGAATGTCAAGAATAGTCATGACCTTATGAACGCATGAATGATTGGTTAGCCCTTTTTGGCAGATCTCAGGTAAATTTGATAAATAATTAAGTGTTTTATAAATGTTTCACACCTGTCGATCAATTGCTTCGTTCCGAAACAGGGATTGAAATCATTACAATGTCTATTTTTGTTCCAGGTGCAGTTCGCTTTCAAACAACAAAGTTTCTAAACGGACCGAAATAGTTCAAACATCACATGTGAATAAACTCTCCTTACATTGGTCAGAGTTTTAGGGTTTATTTTCAGAGTCCCACGGATTCTGCTCAGCTGTCACATTGGTATTTTAATTCATGATGATAAGCAATAACGCATAGTAAGTTAAATGGGTGCACTTTAATTTTGACATCCACAGACATTATCACCAAATATAAATCAGAGAGGTAAGACTTTTCAAATCATCAAATCAATCAATCTAAAAAAAAATCTATCTAAAAAAATGTCTAGAGTTATAGGCTTAAATCATAGAGAGAAAAAACAGATGAACTGAGAATGCGGCTTTCTTTCGAAGTGTCAGAGCGGAAATAAACAAAACAGTGGCGGAGTGGGTAGCACATTCGCCCCACAGCAAGAGCAATATGTACATGAACCTATAGTCAAAAACATGGCATACTAAAATCCTTATTTAGAAAAAAAAAAACAAAAAAAAAAAACAAACAAACAAGCATTCAATAATATATATATTTTTTTTATTTGAAACAGGAAAGGTAAAGACTGAGGCAACCCTACAAACGCAATGTGGGAATTCACAATTCATCTGATATATTTGATTTACAAATGTTTCTGGTCTTAAATTGCATATTATACTCTAATATTCTGCTCACTGGCACTCAAACAAAACAACTGTGTATCTGAGCATTACCAAACCTCACTCACCCCCCAAAAATTCCAAATAAAGCATGCAACCCTGAACACAAAAAAAGTGCATGCACAACCCTCCATTTGGTCCACATACAGCAAGGTGAAAAATAAACATTTACTGTACACACAAATATTCAAATTTCTTAAATTTCCCTTATTTAATACAAAGCAAATGACAAATAAACTATGCAGCGTTATAAACGTGTACATTTGTGTGAATGGAGGCTTTGTTGTGATATTTATTTTTTGTGTTTGTGTGCGTGTATATCTTGAACTATGAGAAATATATGTCCAACTAGGAATCACTACCAAGTTATCATCAAACCCTTCATATACAAGTGAAAACTGGAATAAATTTGTTTGCAATTATTCACACATACAAACGCAATGATGAAACCAGTACTGTGTGCATCAGCACTGCTGATGCCCACTTGATGCATCTCACCATTATAGTCTCGGTATATGGAAAAGCTTTACAAATACTCATAGAAAAATAGTTCACCTAAGAATGAAAATTCGGCCATCATTTACTCAACCTTGACTTGTTCCTTTTGACACACAATAGGTTACTTTGAAGGATGTTGGAAACATGTAAGCCACTGACTTCCATAGTAACATCTGCATTGAGAAAGAACAATAATAACAATAATAATAATAATAATAATAATAATAATAATAATAAATAAGGAAGTCAATGGTTACAGTTTTCCAACAATCTTTCAAATATTTACTTTTATAAGCCTCAAACTGATTTGAAACAAGTTAAGAATGAGTGAATGATATTCAATATTAAGTGAACTATCCCTTATAGTAAGGAATAACCCAAGTTAAATGTCTCTTTAAATACAAGCTGTTTTGAAAGCATAATACAACATGTGGAAGAGGCAGGCAATGTAAATTCAACTATAGTATGCTGGCAGTTTTAGAAATAGCACAAGCTCTAATACAGACACTCCATTTCTAATAGATTGAAGCTTGTAGTCTCTAGTTGTGGAGAGTCATGATAAATGGCAAAACTGTGCAGAGTCCCAAAGTTTCAAGTGATTTTAAGACATACTGTTTTGGATCCCAATGGACAATGTAACAATGATTTCATCATCATCTCCTTTCTGTGCTTCCTGCCAAGCAGAGGAGTTAAAGGTGGGGAACTATACTTTTCAGTGGTGTGGGGACACAACCGAGTGAGGGCTACTGCCAGGACCCTGGTATCTTTCTCTGGCATGTTTCTCGCAGAACATTTTGTCCTCCGCCCAGAAGTGGCCCCGCATCTTTAGGTTGAGCCCGCATTCTGTACAGGTGTAGCATTCTGGGTGACGATAGCAATTGTCTGTAATCTTCACAGCCTGAGTGCTGAAAGGAGGGGAAAAAAAGTACAAGGACAAGTCAATGAACATTCCAAAATGAAATCAGCTGCTGTCTTTACAGAATGTTATCTTCTGCAATTCTAAACCCCAGTCAAGATTTTTGTATAGTTGTTGTTGGGAGACAATATGATCTGAATTAATCTTCCCACAAAAATTATAGTTGATGATGTACAGTCTTTTTTTTTCAAATTCAGATAATAATTTAAAGTGCCCCCATGAAAATGAACTTCCATGCAGTGTGCAACACAGCTCTAAGTGGATGAAAACATCCAGCTGAGCTTTAAATCTGAAAGTGCACCTTTCAGAATTTTTCACCATTTTTTTTTTAAATAAAAGATTCTAGTAGTTTAATGATTCATTGTTTATCCAGATCTTTTGCCTGTTCGTATCAACATCGTCATGAAACAATACAGAATATGTTCTGTACCGGATCCGGTAAAACGTGAACGTGCCTTTCCCTTCCAACGCTAGCAGAGTGCAGGTAAGTGTGAGTCTGATCATTACTAAAGATGAGTGAACATTAAGTGAATGTTCTGGTGATTAATGCAATAATCTACCCTGCAACTGGGTATTCGTCGGCCGTTTGTTAAAGGAAGGATCAAAAAAAGACTATTGATGTATTGGAGTTTGTCAGAGCTTGAAAGGAATTTTCTTTCTCCATTTCACAAGAGTAAGTGCAATTAAAATTGTTGCCTCCTTGTTTTCCCTAGTCTGCCAAATATGTATTTATGCGTCCGCATGGCTTGTACTAAATCTGGTTAACTCTTTATATTCAAATATCACGCCTAAAGCCACATTGAAAACGAGGTGTGTGCCGCTTTGTTTACAGATTTAAATGCGTTTGTGAGCTTGCGATCCACTGTCGTTTCTAATTGATATTAGACCGTCAGCTCTTCCTACTCACATGCGCCGGTCAAGTTTCAGCAAAGTTCAGCTTTTCTGTGTGGAATAATGGTAAATGTGTGTCATTGTTATTACTTAAGAATAGTGCAATATGCTGGTGTTTAACTGCATTGCTTTAATGCACTCCTGCATTAAAGCTCACACATACACTCTGCACACTGACTACTTCAACAGTTTATAAGCTTTGGTGGGAATTTCTCTCTGTCTCACGCTGAACGAAGTCGTTCAATTGCAACAGACTGGGTCATTGGACCAATCAGTGCAGCTTAGGATCACGCAAAGGAGGGGTTTGGGAACAAATGGAACGCTGAACAAATAATATAGGAGTTGTTTGGATAATTAGGATAAAAAGAAATGCATATTATAAGACAATAAATGTGTTTTTGACCTTGCATGTGTATCAGCCTGTTGGGGACCCACAAAACCAAAATAAGACCTTTTTAATGCATAATAGGGGCTCTTTAATCATTTTCAAACTGTTGTTGTCAACTGTTGTGTATCTAGTCAGTGTGGGTAAGTGCCATACTGTCAAACACTTATTCCACATATTTAAAACGTATACGAAAATATATGTGAAAAATATATTTGAATTATATCTGTCGACTGTATATCACCCACCTGAAATTTGAATTGTTTTTCAGATTTCAAATTGAATTAATTAAACATTTTTTAAACACTAAATTAAACACTTTTATTTTATTTTATTTTATTGTCGGCAAGGACAATATAAGACAGACTAGGTCATCTGTTAGAGGTGATTGTTCTGTTAAACTTAAGAGAACTGCTTTTGGACAATCAGTTTTTTCAGTTAAAGCAGCAGAAAGATGGAATAAAATACCAGTGTATATCAGAGAGAGCAGCACTTTTAATAATTTTAAAACTGTTCTTAAAATCTGGCTAAAACAAAATCAAATATGCAGCCACTGATTTGATTTCATTTTATTGACAATGATGTATTGTATTTATTGTACTGTAAGTGTATATTGTATTTGTTATAAGTGTTAAATTTGTTACTTCCTGCCCAGGGACTACAGATGTAAATTAGCTTTATAGCTAACTCTGGCACAACATGTCATGTTGTACATTGTCCCTGTATAAATAAATAAAGTAAATAAAAAAAAATAAAAAATAAAAATTAAACACTTTGACTGCTTTGTTCAATAAATGCAACTTCAAAAAGTCAATAGCGTATATGCCGAGCTAGTGTTTCTTCCCATACTGATAAACTTCCGGTGACCGGATATTGTAAGATTTTTCCATTTTATATGGTTCTGTTAACAACATCGATGTTGTAATGTAATTAAAATATAATCAGTTAAATAGACTTTAATTTAGGCATTAATTTAGTTGATTAAGTGCAGAATCTCCATTTAATATACTGGGGTAAAATAAATACTCATATTATAAAGACATGGCGGGGACAATTGTAATTTAATGCAGTGCTTGTACAATCTGAGACCCACTTTATATTATATATCACTCAGCCAATGAAGATCACTGATTTTTGAAGAAAAACAGACTTTAAATGTGCCGATTTTGCAATGGCATACAGTTCACCGGAAGTGCTGACAAATTAAAAGTCCTTTAGCATACTTCGTCATATACCCTATTGTGTAGAAAATAATCAATGATCTTGATCTTATTTATGAACAAAATAATCATTATGACTTTTTCCAGCCCAAGTTTGCATTCAGAGTAAATATGGACACATCAAGGCATGTTTTTATGCAGTTTGTTATGGGGAGAATATATCTAGCACAAATTTGCAATTGTGCAATTCACAAAAACAATCTTATGCTATTTCAGATATTCTCAGATCTTACTTTCTTGTAAATCCATCACATGAAGAAGTTTTGGTTTCATTTGCAGAGAGTCTTGCATCGCTAAGATAAATATATTAAATGTATTTTCTTCAAAGAATCAACGTTGAATAGGAAAATAGTGAAACAAATATCAATGTTGTTTCCTTTCTAACTTAACATTGTAAGAGGGGGTAAATAAAACTCTCATGCAGGTAGACAATGAAAACTGTAATCATCTAATACATTTTAAAAACTGAATATACAAAGTGAAACAAAATTAAATGTTTATCATTGTTATTATTTTGATTAATAAATCTATTTATAAACTTTACACAAGGTTAGCCAGATTTAAACATGGGGTTTATGCATAACCGGGCCCACTTATTCCTAACACTGCACACAGTACTTGCTGTCTCTCATATCACTTAATCAAAGATGGAGCGATATCAGAAACATGTAATGCTGGGGGTTCTCCCTAGCCAGGGTTAAAAAACTACTCTTGTAACCATAATTGTGTAGTTATATAACTATGTCCAAATCTACAGTCACTGTTTTGGAATGCTCTAGTCCACAGGCAGCAACTTTGCAGGCCACACAAACTGTGGCACAGCAAATAACACATGGAAGGAATGACAAGCAATTAACTCCAGATGAGACTGATGTTAGCATGCTACTAAGCTAACAACGGATGCTGTTACCACTCGCTTTAGTGAAGCCCAACGTATATTTTAGTTTTAATGTGAATGCTTATGAATTATGCGAAAATGCAGTTTGTTGTGGGGAAAATTATCTAGCACAACTTTGCTATTTTGCGGTTCACAAAAGCAATTTTATTTCAGATATTCTCAGATATTTTTTTTTTCTTTTAAAAACCACCACATGCAGATGTTTGGGTTTCATTCGCAGACAGTCCTGCATCGCGAAGATAAATATATTAAATGTGTTTTCTTCGAAGAATTGAAGTTAAATATGAAAATAATGAAATAAACATTAATGTTGTTACCTTTCTAACTTAACATTGTAGGAGGGGGTAATTAAGATGTTAATGATAAACATCTTATTTGATACTGCAGCATGTGGCATTTTCCCTCCAAACTTTTGAAAAAGGGATTAAGAGATTAGCCGATTACCTAAAACTCAAGTTGTTTTTTACATCCACGTTTTAAAATTAATTCACCTCATTTTTAATTAAACTCACAAAGATTTCAAACACACTAGTAACACATTGCCTTTATGGGGTATTGTTTATAAAACTTTGAAATAGGCTGTAACAGAAAATTGTAAAAAAAAAAAAAAAAAAAAAAAAAGTGGAGCGCTGTGTTTGTAATCATAATATTAATTCATTTATTGTAATGTTATGTAAAGGAATAGTTTACCCCAAAAAATAAAAAAATAAAAATATATGTCATCATTTAATCCCACTTGTTCCAAACCTTTATTATTTTCTTTCTTCTGCAAACATAAAAGATTCTTTGAAGAACCTGTAACTATTGATCACCATAGTAATTGTTTTCTTACTATGGAAGTCAATAGTTTTAGTTTCAGCTTTTCTCAAAATATCTTATTATAGAAATATTAAATATCTTACAGTAAATATTGCATAGAAGAAAGACACTCATAAAGGTTAGGAACCAGTAAAGAGGAAAATTGAAGGATGAGGAAAATTATATTTTTGGGTGAACTATAACTTTAAATATGCACTCTCCTGTTGTTTCAAACCTTTACGAAATTGGAACACAACTGAAGACACTTAAATCTTTCAGGATTCTTTCACTCTTTTGACATCCTATGAAAGAATGCTTTTGTGGGCAAAAAAAAAAAAAAGTATTTAACAATTTATTTAAATGTTATGCCTCAAGCTCCAATACGCATTCATGATGCATATGCATTGTCAACTCAAGAGAAGATGCTCTCACAATACAACTTGTTTTGAAAGTGACTATAATACTTGTCATCATGTCTGAAGACTCTGGCCAATTATGTTTATATAATTTAATAATGTTTATAACATGCCTTAATTAAATGTTAATAAAAATTGCCTTACAAAGTCTCATAGGTCAACAACACCAGGGTGAGATAATAATGAAACATACAATTTTACAACAAGAGGATGAGCAGTGAGCATTACTTAAGCACTGTTTCTGTACATATTTGATTGTGGTCAAGTGTTTGTCTAATGACATTAACTAAGGTGTAGAAGTGTCGCTCTCAATGGGTGATATAATCCAAATGAATAACCAGTGGGATGATTTTGTCTCAGTGCTACTCAATCATCAACTTTAATAAATATGAAAAGTTGATGTGTTGACTCTTCCCTAAAGGCTGATTTTTATACAACCCTTTCATAAAGTTACCGGCTCATTAACTGCTTATGCAATCCCAGCATGCCTGTGCAGAAAACATACGATGGTGTGTGTGTGTGTGTGTGTGTATGTGTGTGTGTGAAGAAACAGAGAGATTTAGGCATGTGTGCATCTTGTCTTACACAATGCTGGTGCCACATTTTTCACAAGTGTGATGTTTCTGCACACCAGCAACAGAGGATGTCTTAGGGGGGTTTGGTGACAACTTGCTTGGAAACCGCAAAGCAGCCTCTGTAAATACAGAACACAGTTTACAAACTTTATATTCAAAAAATAAAAAATAAAAGTAAAATGATAAAATAAAACAAAAAACGAAATTAAATTAATAATAATAATAATAATAATAATAATAATAATAATATATATATATATATATATATATATATATATATATATATATATATATATATATATATATATATATAAACAAATAAAAAATAAATAAATAGAATTAAATAAAATGTAAAAAATAAATAAAAATATAAAATAAAATACTAAATTAAATTAATATAATAAAACAAAAATAATCAAATATATAACTAAAATAAAAATATAACATAAAAATACTAAATTCAATTAATTTAAAAAGATAAAATAAAAAAGAAAAAGAAAACAATTAAATTTAAATAAAATATTTAAAAAACAAAATAACATTAAATAAAAATATTAAATTAAATTAATAATTAAGATAATAAAAATAAAATAATAAAACAATAAAATTAAATATAAAATATAAATTAAATCACTAAAATATATAAAAAAAATAAAATACTAAAATAAAATAAAATTAAATTAAATTAAATTAAATAACCTTTAAAATAACCTCACCTTTCTCATCAGCCTCCAGCACCTCCTGTAGCATTTTGAAGGTGTTGGATTGCCGGGGAGCCGCACGAGATTCTTTGTTCTCCTGAATCATCTTGTATACTTCCGAGTCTCGGTCAAACTTCTGCATGGCAAAATCTGAGCTGAAAAATAAAGAGAGAGAGAGAGGTCATAAATCAACAATAATTTTGACAACTTGAAACAAAAATAAATAAATAAATAAATAAATAAATAAATAAATAAATAAATAAATAAATAAATATTCTTCCAAAATGTAAAAACAATTGAAAGCTGTAGACCAGGGGTGCCGAAACTTTTTTTTTTTTATAAAGAGCCAAAAACCAAACTTGATTGAGGGCTGTGGGCCGAAGGTAAATTTACCAAACCATACTACATTAAATTTGCTCATTTGTTTGCTTTTTTAATAACTAGAAAAGGTTGATTTAAAACATATTTAATGACAATGCATTTGAATTTTGAATGTTTTATAGTCAACTTATTATAGTAAAAACATAAACAATCCAATTTATAACACAATGGAGCTCAATATTGAATACACTAATCAAGCTGCTTCTGCCTTTGCCTTGATTTGCTCACCGATTGTGCTTATCTTGTGCATTCTCCTCTATCTGTCAAGTAAAAGTATGATTCATATGAAACATTTGATTGTAGTTGGTTTTTTGTAGCTCCTTAATTAAATAAAGAAACAAAAGGGAATACATTTAATTTGAAACGACAATCTCTGTCAAAGGCATTCGCACCAAACAACTCATTCTCTTTTTAGATGGGACCGAACCAAAAGTTACCATGGGCCAACTGCTTTGGGCACCTCTGCTGTAGACTAAGCCTTTCCATATTATTGGCAATTGAAATCCTTGCAATAATCAATTTACTCTTTTTCCTCTACATTGTTAATTCCTGTTATTATCCTTTCTCTCTTTAGATGCAATAATTACAACACTTCTATGAGGACCTGAGGAGTAAAACAGTAGGGGGAGAAAATGAATGCGAGCTTTGAGAAACTGTGAGTGTTTTGTACCGAGCTGATTAGTGTGCAGATACAGCAGCCATACAGCGGGAGGTTTATGGCTGCATTTTTATGCAGTCATAAACACAGAACTTTCTTACACACATGGGCATCCTATTACTTGCTCTACACCTATTGAGCCACTGCCATACATATAATACAGCCTGAAGGAGCAAAAATACAGACACATGAGAACAATTAACACTAAACCACACACATACAGTACAATGTGCTCAAGTTTTGTTTTAGTCTTTTATTTTATTTACTTATTTGTTTAATTTTATACATTTAATTTTACTTCATGGGCGGCATAGTGGCTCAGGGAGTAGCACTGTCGCCTCACAGCAAGGTCGTTGATTCGAACCCTGGCTGTGTCAGTTTCTGTGTAGAGTCTGCATGTTTTCCTCGTGTTTGCAAGGGGTTTCCTCCGGGTGCTCCGGTTTCCCCCAAAGACATGGGGTATAGTTGAAATGAATAAGCTAAATTGGTCGTAGTGTTTGTGTGTGAATGCGAGAGTGTATGGATGTTTCCCAGTGCGGGAAAACGCACTGGGAAAGCGGTTGGAAGGGCATTCGCTTTGTAAAATATATGCTGGATAGGATGGCTGTTTAATCCGTAGCGGCTAACCCTGATAAATAAAGGGACTAAATGAACGAATAAATAGATTTTACTTCATGTTTACAAAATAATTAGTGATGGAAAACAGTCTTTTTTTATCAGTGAAGTACACACACACACACACACACACACACACACACACACACACACACACACACACACACACACACACACACACACACACACACACACACACACACACACACACACACACACATATATATATTTTTTTTTTTTTTGTTAGTGACTACACTTTACTAGAAAACAAACGGCCAATAATCATTTTATAATAATCATGCTGCTCTGGATCATTCTGACCAAATTTACCTCATGGTCATGAGGAATGCATTAACAAATTGTTTCAGTGAAGTGGCCTTGTGATAGCTGGCTTGAAACGTTTGCTGTCAAAACAAACGCTATCAGGATTTCTGTTGTGTGAAAAGGCAATGGCATGGCTTAAGAAATCATTAACCAATAAGCCAAAACTTTAAACAGGACTCTTGACCTGACAAGAAGTGCTTGCTTACTATTGTAATTTGAGGCAGTAAACTACACAGTGAGAAAACAATGTGATTTACTGTGTTCAACATGTAAGTTTATTTCAGTTTCAGGGAGTGGCAGTCACACAAAAAAACCTGTATGACAGCAAGCATGTAATAGCTGACATGACAATCCATACACAACAAAAAGAAAATGAAATTCAATTCTGTGACAAAATATGAAAGAAGAAAAAATGAAAAAGAAGCATTTGGAATAGTCATTACCGTGAGCTTTTGAATACACAATAAATCTCCATAAAATGGCAGGTTCACTATCTGCATGCTATTCAATAAGATATGCTTCAAATTGAAAACAGACAGTGTGTTTGAGTTTCTCCTGAAAGCTCTTACAGGAACTCTCAGTTCCCACCAGGTTTGTTGTCTAAATTTAACAGGCTTCGGACAACATTTGCAGTCAGTCAGTCAGTCAGTCAGTCAGTCTTTATTCATTTCCCGAAAGCAATTTGGTTGCAGCATACAAGCATGTCACAGATAATACACAAAAATATATTGTACAATAGAAATCTACCCTAAATCTTAAAACTTTACAGCTGAAGGGATAGATGAAAGCATGAACTGATTTGTTTTACTAATATGAGTTCTGTAAAATACCAGAAGGGAGAAATTGTGGTGCATAGGATGAGAATCATCTGTCAGAATACTCTGAGCTTTACTCAAAACTTATCCATGATATAACTGAGCCATAGTAAACTGTTTCCCTGTTATTTTTCCTCCTAGGTTCACATTTCTTCAAACTAATTTTGAGAATTGAACCAAGAAAGCAAAGAAAAAGATAACAGTGACTGAATGTATGTAAAACAAGCACATGAGTGATTTATCTATTTTAATCTATCTTAATTTCTGTAAGCAGTACAATCTTTGCTGCCCCTTATTACACAAATTAGCATTAACAGAAAAGGACAATTTATTATCCAAAACTACCAAAGTACTGATCAACACTCTCAACACTAACTTCTAAAATACTTGTTTGCGGTTTTATTTTTGTGGGTGTGCCACCTCCATTGGGACCAAAGTGTAGGTTATCCCACAGGGGACTGTTTTGTGTCCCTCATAAAACGGACCTGCTTGTTCCAGATACATATAGGGGATGCATGTCTTTCAACTCTCATGACAAGCATTTTATCTTGAACCGATTTTAGGGCTAAAACAATGTAAAGCAATAAATAATGCATAGAATTTTCCATCCATCTGTGACTCTCCAAAACTAAACGGCAACTGCAACTTTCTAAACAGGTTTTAGATTGAGCAGTGAAAACAGTCGACACAGCATCATTACATTACAGCACTGAGAACAGAGAGGAGCGCTAGGCTCACATTACAATATTTCTCTTACCGCAGACAAGCCTGTCATATGCCTTGTAAGTTAAAAGGAAGATGTCTGAACAGTTTGGACTTACCTCAAGAGCAAACAAAGGCAAATTCCTATCCAACTAGTTCATCTCTTGTTGGAACAACAACAGAGCCTACGGTGACAACTGCACACATATACACACAGCCACACAGGAGGGAGTGCACACACACACACCTTTGTTGAGACTTAAGAAAGTTGAACGTTTCAGCCAGAAAGGTGTGAGTTTCTGTTGCCTTGTATTGGTTGACAACATAAAAGGGTTGTGGTTACTCATGTTTTACATTTTTGCATTGGTCGAGCAAAGAAGTGGGTGGAGTCATGAATGTGCAGAAGAGGGAGAAGGGTGGGGGGTGCAATTAGGGGCAGAAATTATATGATCATTTTCTAGAAAGCAAGACAAAGGGAAAAGAAAAAGGGAATGAAAAGAAAAAGAAAAGAAAGGAAAACTTTTGGGACTTTAGCCATTTTCTGACTCATTTAGACATCTGAAGGAAGGAACCAAAATACTTCTGTTTTTTGTTTTTTTTTTTCTCTCTGAGAAGTGTTGAAAGAACTGAATCTAAATGACAACAAATCATTCCAGAGTGTTTCAGAGACATCTATCAGTAGATGTTTAACTCATTTAAATGAGTCATTTAAATGCTTTGTCACTGCATAGTTTGTCTGATCTCCAAGACATGTTATTTGCTCATCTGCAATAATATAACTTTAACAACTTAAGTTATTTCCATTTGCATATTTTTTCTAAATTGCAATAAATTAGGGCTGTCCGATTCAAGCTAAAATTAGTATCACAATTTTTTTGCTTAAAATCAAGACCACGATTTTCGCATGGTTCTTTAGATGTAAAATAAAGGTTAATTAATACGAGTAGGCTATTTTTATTGTTATCTCTCAAAAATGTGGTAAAACAACAACAATAATATGTGGCCTAAATGTAGCATTTCAAACAACCTACATTTTGTATCAATTTGGAAAGACTTTACACACATCCAGGGGTGCCAAAATCCATTGTTAGCGAACTAAGAACGCAAGTTCCGTCATTACAAACATTTGTAATAGAAACATATGTGCTATTTACATATATTTCAATTAGTATGGAAAACGAGTGCATGCTTTTACCAAAACTAATATTGATTTTTTTTAAATGCGTGTGAAACTGTGGAGTTCTTCTCTAAAGAAGTTCTTACCACCCCGTTTAGAGCATCATATGGGCATTTTACGTTATAACTAACATGGTTCAAATGATGGATCTGCGACAGAGCAACCACGATTTTGGGAAAAACTTGTCACTGCATTGTTCTTTTCCCAAGTGATGCATCGTACTAGTTCAGCCGCATGTTATGTTGTTGTTTGCGAATTGCAACTGGTTGTTAATTCCCAGTAGTGGTGACATCAGAATATAATTATTCATAATCTTAAAGTTAAAAAATTATGTTTGAGACATATGCTTGTCAGTTGTCATTGAAAATATTAGACCATTTTTCTTCACTGCAATGAAATATTTGTCATTATCAGCTTCTCTCTTGCATTATATTCAACATTATATTGGCTAGAGTAGTTACACTGACCCAATAAACATTCATTTTTATGCACAACACTACATATCAACATATTAAATGCTTGTCGTAATCATAACTCTAAAATGCGATATTATCATTTAAATCAGGGATTTCCAAACTTTTTTTATTCCGGGACCCACCTAGGCAAGTAATTCAATCTCAAGACCCACCATAATATTTTATTATGGAAAAATGGGTAAAAAAATGTATCCATTCAAAGCAGTCAAAAATATATGGTGTGCAGCTTTTTGGATTTTGCGATTTGATATGCATATAATGAGGCTCGAAGTGCTTTTTGTGGGATGCTGGCTTTAACTGTGATCATTTTTTTGTGGAAAAAGATACTCTTCTTTTTTAGGAAAAAATATGATCAACCTTTGATCAAGCCCCTGGATTATGATCAAGCCCCGTCACATCGCAGTAAATTCCACTGTTAGTGTAGTCATAAGAAACTGAATAGCTTTTTGATCGACTACTACAAGCTGGGAAAATGTCAGATAAATATGCCAATGCAATTAACATTATTGCCGAATAGATCTAATATTTACACATTTGCTTGAGGAAGGAATGATGGGGGTAGTTACATTACTACTATTTTCCAAAACATCTATGCCCTTCCATAACATTAGCTGACGTTAAAACTAACAGATAGCACTATAGCTATTTATTGATTAGCAATCTGTCAACGCTGGGATGTAAAAAATATTGGACAACAAATAGCTTCAAATGATAGAATACATAGCAAACATCAGAAAATATTGACAATAAAATAAAAGGTTTAACCTATTAAAATCAATGGCCTTCCCAGAAATTGAATAAAGCTATAAAAATGATTTCACTTTTAATTGTATTCACATATTGATTAAAGTTACTATAGTTATTTAGTGAAGAGCAGCAAATGAATCTCTCATTGTGTTTTGCTTGATAACAGAGGTGTTAATTTAAGAATGCACAGATCCATAATGAAGCATTCGACTACTTTAGTAACTGTTTGTGTTCATTTAAGAGAAAATTAGTTGTGTTTAAAATAAAACCTGCAGGACAAAGCAAAAAAAAAAAAAAACTAAAAAATAAGCACTTTTCCGACGGTCCCTTACTGAGAGCTCCACTCTTCGCGAGCTCTACCAGCTAAGCGCAGATTGCGAGAGCTCAAACGGAGCAGTGCTCGTAATGTCAAGCGAAAACCAAGAAAAAGACAGCTGTGAAACATAACCAGCTTTGTCTTTTTGTAGGAAACACACTTTAGATATTTTTAGGGTAAGAGGTTTTTAAGTTATTGCCGTCAATCGTACTGGTTTTGATTCACCGTAATGTAAATATAGCTGCAGCTATGTGACGTTGTGCGACCCACCTTTGTTCACTGTGTGACCCACTAGTGGGTTGCGACCCACAGTTTGAAAACCCCTGATTTAAATGATGTGCATGGTTTTGGTTTCACGGTAACCATCATTTTAAGTACAGTTTGCAACAAACTGAATGTTTTTGCAACTGTATTACCTGTTATTTACAGCCTATGCATGTTATATTCACTAAAGCAGACGTCATTGGCATGTACACGTGCGTCCTATGGGTAGTGAACAAACAGTGCGCTTTCAAGGCCGCGAATACATCATTGCATAAAGACAGAAATGACATTTTTGGGTAAATTATACCTTACAAATACAGTATGTAACACTTTTACCACCATTAGGAGGTGTCCATGTTGCTGAGCAATGTATATAAAAATAATTCTAAGACTTGTGTGACGCTTCTCTCCTGACGGTGAAAATATAATTGACTCAATGATAGAAAAGCTCGTGTGTAGGGTCAAATAGAGATTGCGATATTTTTCCAATTAAGTGTGCAGCCCTACAATAAATACAGTATTAAATATACAATGCATGATAAAGAACAATCAATAACATTTGATTGAATTTATTAAGACACGTGATAAAACTGTTTTTTGAGGGACCCGAGAGAAGAAGCAGAAAATGTGTATAAATGTACCTGCGTCGAGGTGAAACCGACAGCTCTCGTTCAATGGGGCTGTGTGGTGAATATTGTCCAGGTGGAGTTGGAGTTCGACTGGATACACAGTTACTGCGGAAATCCAAAGAAGAAAACTCCTACAAAATACACAAAACATGGGACAGGTCAGGATATTAATCCAAAAAGCACAGTATACTGTATATGCGCATGTGTGTGTTTCACAGATGTCTAAGAAATCCTGATGTCTGATGCCGCATACTGGGGCACCTGCAGCTATTTAGAGATGTCTGAGGTAGAGCAAAGTTGTGACCTAAGTCCAAATGCCAGAAAAAAATTAGCACTTCATTATAACAATAAAATCCAGGAGTTACCAGGATATTTCAATTCAATTCAATTCAATTCAGCTTTATTTGTATAGCGCTTTTACAATGTAGATTGTGTCAAAGCAGCTTCACATAAATGGTCATAGTAACTGGAACAGTGTGGTTCAGTAACTGGAACAGTGTGGTTCAGGTTTTAGTGATGCCGCAGATGCAGGAGAAGCACTTTATCAGCATCTAGACCAGCAGCCTGTAAGTACATTTAAGATTTGTTTCAGTTGTTGTGTATGGTTTGAGGACTTGTTTCCAGCTGTTTGTGTAAAGTTGTAGGACATTTAAACTTGCTTTCAGTTGTGTATAATACTAGAAGTTGTTTAGCCACTGTTTCCTTGGTTACTATAAGAGCTTGTGTAGCGAACGCAAACGCGGTTTCGCGTCGTCCGCCTCAGTTTCGGCCCTTGTTTTGACTCGGGAGGCGTGTCCAAACGCCAGGTAACCACTATATAGCGAGCACGCTAGCATTAGTCGGCAGGAGAAGCACTTTATCAGCATCTAGACCAGCAGCCTGTAAGTACATTTAAGATTTGTTTCAGTTGTTGTGTATGGTTTGAGGACTTGTTTCCAGCTGTTTGTGTAAAGTTGTAGGACATTTAAACTTGCTTTCAGTTGTGTATAATACTAGAAGTTGTTTAGCCACTGTTTCCTTGGTTACTATAAGAGCTTGTGTAGCGAACGCAAACGCGGTTTCGCGTCGTCCGCCTCAGTTTCGGCCCTTGTTTTGACTCGGGAGGCGTGTCCAAACGCCAGGTAACCACTATATAGCGAGCACGCTAGCATTAGTCGGCAGGAGAAGCACTTTATCAGCATCTAGACCAGCAGCCTGTAAGTACATTTAAGATTTGTTTCAGTTGTTGTGTATGGTTTGAGGACTTGTTTCCAGCTGTTTGTGTAAAGTTGTAGGACATTTAAACTTGCTTTCAGTTGTGTATAATACTAGAAGTTGTTTAGCCACTGTTTCCTTGGTTACTATAAGAGCTTGTGTAGCGAACGCAAACGCGGTTTCGCGTCGTCCGCCTCAGTTTCGGCCCTTGTTTTGACTCGGGAGGCGTGTCCAAACGCCAGGTAACCACTATATAGCGAGCACGCTAGCATTAGTCGGCAGGAGAAGCACTTTATCAGCATCTAGACCAGCAGCCTGTAAGTACATTTAAGATTTGTTTCAGTTGTTGTGTATGGTGTGAGGACTTGTTTCCAGCTGTTTGTGTAAAGTTGTAGGACATTTAAACTTGCTTTCAGTTGTGTATAATACTAGAAGTTGTTTAGCCATTGTTTCCTTGGTTACTATAAGAGCTTGTGTAGCGAACGCAACCGCGGTTTCGCGTCGTCCGCCTCAGGTTCGGCCCTTGTTTTGACTCTCGAGGCGTGTCCAGCTGAATTCAATCAGCTAGTGCTTTGGGGTTATATAAACAACTAGTTCACCGCGGCAGCGGTTGCGGCAGCCTCGTGTGAAGACCGCCTCGTGTGAAGACCGACGAGGGTAAAGACCATCGACTCTACCTGCGCGACTCCACCGAGCAAAGACACCGACAAAGCACTTGAGTACTTTACTGTATTGTTTTACTTTACACTTATTTTTTTTGTTGTCAGTGCACTTTTATTATGTGTTTTCTAATTCCTGTTGTTACTAACACTCGCAAAACACGGGAGGTACGCTGCAGGCGTAATCCTCACAACCTTCGTTCAATACATGTATCTACTATTTCACAACTCTCTCTCTCCGTGGGCCTCTGGAACTGTCAATCAGCTGTTAACAAGGCTGATTTTATTACCTCCATAGCTACATATTCTGACTATAATCTCATGGCTCTAACTGAGACCTGGTTGAGGCCGGAGGACACTGCTACACATGCTACTCTTTCTGCTAATTTCTCTTTTTCCCACACTCCTCGTCAGACAGGGAGAGGGGGTGGGACTGGACTACTAATTTCCAAAGAATGGAAATTTACTCTGATACCGTCCCTGCCAACAATCAGCTCCTTTGAATTCCATGCAGTCACCATTATCCACCCCTTCTACATAAATGTGGTTGTCATCTACCGCCCACCAGGTAAATTAGGTCACTTCCTAGATGAACTGGATGTTCTTCTCTCATCTTTTTCTAATTTTGCCACTCCCTTATTGGTGCTAGGTGACTTCAACATTTACGTTGACAAACCGCAAGCTGCAGACTTTCAGACTTTGCTTGCCTCTTTTGACCTAAAAAGAGCACCTACCTCTGCTACCCACAAATCAGGTAATCAGCTAGACCTTATTTACACACGACACTGCTTCACTGATCAAACAATAGTAACTCCACTACAAATATCTGATCATTTCCTTCTGTCTCTCAACATCCACATTACTCCTGAGCCGCCACACACTCCAACACTGGTTACCTTTCGCAGAAACCTACGATCTCTCTCACCCAACAGACTATCCACCATTGTTTCAGACTCTCTTCCTCCATCTCGCAAACTCACTGCACTTGATTCGAACAGTGCCACTAATACACTCTGCTCCACACTAGCATCATGTCTAGACCGATTATGTCCTCTTGCATCCAGGCCAGCCCGTGCCAGTCCTCCTGCACCCTGGCTCTAAGATGCTCTCCGTGAGCATCGCTCAAAACTTCGGGCTGCAGAGAGAATTTGGCGGAAAACTAAAAATCCTGCACATCTCTTAACATACCAAACTCTTCTGTCCTCTTTCTCAGCTGAGGTTACTTCTGCAAAGCAGACGTATTACCGTCTGAAAATCAACAATGCCACTAATCCTCGCCTACTTTTTAAAACATTTTCCTCCCTCCTCTATCCTCCTCCTCCACCCGCATCCTCCACACTTACTACTGATGACTTTGCTACATTCTTCTGCACCAAAACTGCAAAAATCAGTGCTCAATTTGCTGCACCTACAACAAACACGCAAGATACAACACCAACACCACACACACTCACCTCGTTTTCTCAGCTCTCTGAGTCTGAGGTGTCCAAACTTGTGCTATCTAGCCATGCAACCACCTGTCCACTCGATCCCATTCCCTCTCATCTCTTGCAAGCCATCTCTCCTGCAGTCATACCAACACTGACTCACATAATTAACACATCTCTTGACTCTGGTTTATTCCCCACTACATTTAAGCAGGCTAGGGTAACCCCACTGCTAAAGAAACCCAACCTGGACCATACGCTACTTGAAAACTACAGACCAGTATCCCTGCTTCCATTCATGGCCAAGATTCTGGAGAAAGTAGTGTTCAATCAAGTCCTGGACTTTCTTACTAAAAACAATCTCATGGACAACAAGCAATCCGGCTTTAAGAAAGGCCACTCAACTGAGACTGCCCTGCTCTCGGTCGTGGAGGATCTCAGACTGGCTAAAGCAGACTCTAAATCATCAGTCCTCATTTTGCTGGACTTGTCAGCTGCTTTTTACACTGTCAACCACCAGATCCTGCTATCTACGCTTGAGTCACTGGGCGTTGCGGGCACTGTTATACAATGGTTCAGATCTTACCTCTCTGACAGGTCATTCAGGGTGTCTTGGAGGGGAGAGGTGTCCAACCTACAGCATCTAAACACTGGGGTACCTCAAGGCTCTGTTCTTGGGCCACTTCTCTTCTCCATCTACACATCATCTCTAGGACCAGTCATCCAGAGACATGGATTCTCCTACCACTGCTATGCTGATGATACCCAGCTATACCTCTCTTTTCATCCTGATGATCCCTCGGTTCCAGCTCGTATCTCAGCCTGCCTGTTGGATATTTCACACTGGATGAAAGATCATCATCTTCAGCTGAACCTCGCAAAAACGGAAATGCTTGTAGTTTCTGCCAACCCGACTCTACACCATAACTTTTCAATCCAGATGGATGGGGCAACCATTACTGCATCCAAAATGGTGAAAAGCCTTGGAGTAACGATTGATGACCAACTAAACTTCTCTGACCACATTTCTAGAACTGCTCGATCGTGCAGATTTGCACTCTATAACATCAGAAAGATCCGACCCTTCTTATCTGAACATGCAGCTCAACTCCTTGTTCAAGCTCTTGTTCTCTCCAAACTGGATTACTGCAACTCTCTACTAGCTGCCCAGTTGGTGGAATGAACTCCCTAACTGCATCAGAACAGCAGAGTCGCTCGCTATTTTCAAGAAACGACTAAAAACTCAACTATTTAGTCTCCACTTCACTTCCTAATCTGCAATTGCCTATTTGAATATCACACTAACTGTACAAAAAAAAAAAAAAAAAAAAAAAAAAAATTACTAACACTTCCCTTCTTAGACTTTACAGACCTGAAACTTGCCTTTAGTACTTATTCATTGTTGCTCTTAGTGGTGTAAATTGCTTCCTTGTCCTCATTTGTAAGTCGCTTTGGATAAAAGCGTCTGCTAAATGACTAAATGTAAATGTAGTGTTTAAGTTATTAGTGATATTTATGTTGAATGTTGCCATTAGACAATGAAAAAAGATTTATTAGTTTTACATTGACTGAATTTAAGCAATTTATGTTGAATATAACTAAATTGAATTTGTTTAAGTTCAGCCAATATAAATTGTTTGCAACCACTTAATGTGAAAAAAAGTAAATCCAATGAGTTTTTTTTTTTTTTTTTTTTAAGTGTATAATGCTTATTTTGCTTCAACGGAAATCAAGGAACATTTTGTTAAAAGAAGAACTCTTTTGAGCAAACAATCATTCTGGCTCATACAGATCATACATTGAGACTAAGCAGGGCTGAGCCTGGTTAGTACCTGCATGGAAGACCACATG